AGAGAGAGAGACACACACACACAGAGACAGTGAGAGAGAGACACACAGAGACATGGGTCAATCCCTAAATAAGAGGAACTGATTTAAAACCAGGGGCTGCCCTGTCAGACAGAGACGCTGAGAAGGATCAATCTCTCGGAGAGATGGGTGACTCTGGAAGGCTCTGCCGCAGAAGCTGGTGGTGGAGGTGGAGCGGGGGGTGGGGGTCAGTGACTGTTTTCGAGACAGGGTTGGAGAGATTCCCATGGGGTGTGGGGGGAAATCGAGGCTTATGCTGGCGGGGAGGTGGAGCAGAGATGGGACACATACAGAGAGGGCCTGAGTGGCCATGGGGTGAGGGGCCTCTGGGGTTGTGTATCACAGACCCATTTCTGAAGAAGGGCCTAGACCCGAAACGTCAGCCTTCCTGCTCCTCTGATGCTGCTTGGCCTGCTGTGTTCATCCAGCTCCACACTGTTATCTCAGACCTGATGTGCATTATTCCTCGGCATTTGAATGGCACCCTTTCTCCCAGACAGCGCGCACCCCCTCAATTCAAACACCCCTCTGTCATCGCCCAGTCTGTACACCCCGTCCTCACAGTTCGACCCTCTCTCTCTGCCTCACCTGGAGTGGAGGAGGGGGGGCAGACTGAGACTTGTTGTGAGTTCAAGGTGCTGCCTTTCTCAGTGGGGACAGCACAGCGAGGGACCAGGGGGCCACCCTGAGCTCCTGAGACTGGGCGGGGGAGGAAGGGAAGGGACACGGACACAGGTAACAGCCTGAATGATCAAACAAACACCATTTGTCACTCTGCATTTTACAGCTTTTCACATCTATATGTCCCTCTTCCCCCAACCCCCGGCCCTGCTCCAGGCTCGGGCAGCTAGACACAGGCGGGGGTGTGGGGGGATGAAAGAGAGAGAGACAGAGACATGGGGGAGGGGTGGAAGAGAGATAGAGAGGAGAGATAGATAGAGACAGAGACAGAGAAACAGGCAGAGAGAGTACGAGAGAGGGAGAGAGGCAGAGAGACAGACAGACAGAGAGAGAGAGACAGAGACAAAGATACAGAGAGAGACAAAAAGAGAGAGACAGAGACAGGGAGGGAGAGAGAGAGCAACACACACAAAACAGACAGTGAGAGAGAGACATGGGTGGGGAGGGGAGCGAGATAGAGGGAAGAGAGAGAGGCAAAGATAGACAGGAGAGAGAGAGAGAGAGAGAGAGACACACACACACACACACACACACAAAAAGAGACAGTGAGAGACAGAGATAAGATACACAGACAATCTTCCCTAACACACACAAAACTAGAGAAACTGGAACTCTGCTTCATTAGAATGGGTCCTTCTTCCCCCCCACCACAACCACCGGGAGTGATGAGGGGTGTTTAGTTCCACCCGGAGGGACCAGGATCACTTCCCATTGGAGGGGATAAGGGTACAGGTGGAGGTCGAATGGAGAGGTGCCCCAGGGAGCGGGAGGGGGATTAGACGGAGTGAGCGCAGTCCGGCTGGGAGAGAGACGTTTACGGAGCTGTGACTCAGGAAGGCGGCGATCATTGTGACTCTCCCTCCTACCCCCCACCCCACCCTAAATAAACCAGAAGAGGCCCTTCAGCCCATCGAGGCTGTACTAGCAAAACTGCACCCACCGTAGGTTCCCGCGCCAGGCCCAGTGAATGCTCCGAACTCTCGCTCGGGTACTTTTTAAAAAAGGTTGTGAGGTCTCCTGCCTCAACAACACACCCCTTCCCCCCCCCCGCCCTGCCCCCAACCTTCTCAGGCACTGCACTCCAGTTCCCCTCCACCCTCTTGTTGAAAAACTACGTCCTCAAATCTCCCCTCTACTTCCACCTTCAAATCATACAGCCTTGGTATTGATCCCTGAAAGGGCTTTCTATACACTCTGTCCACGCCCCTCGAGTCTTCCAGAGCTCTACCAGATCCCCTCTCAACCCACCATTACCCAGCCTCTCTCTCTCCCCCTGAAATGCCCCCCATCCCAAGGGGCACCAGCTTGGCCGACCTCCTCTGCAGTCCCCAGCCCCAGTACCATCACACAGTCCTGCACGGCTGAAGAGAGAGGATGAAATCAGACACAACGGCTACGAGGGGGTACAGAACCATACAGCAGGGAAATAGCGCTAGGTGCATGCCGACCGCGTTCCCAAAATGCAGCCAGTTGAATCCTATCTCTCAGTAGCTGAGCTTAAACGCATGGGACTCCTGGGTAGGGGGGAGGGGGGGAGAGAGAGAAAGAGAGAGACAGCGAGAGAGCGAGAGAATCAGGTAAAACAAAGAAGAGACAGTGAGAGAAACAGACAAACAGAGGGAGAGAGAGTGACTTTGAAAGGACATTCAGCCTCTCTTGTTACCACCCTGTGTCTGGGTGCAGATACTACAGCTTCCTCCCCCATCACTGAGAGCAGGGTTAGATACAGAGTAAACCTCCCTCTACACTGTCTCACCGCTCCTCCCCCCCCCCCCAATCACACACTCCCAGGACAGTGACAGCACAGGGTTAGATACAGAGTAAAGCTCCCTCTACACTGTTCCCCCGCTCCCCGCCACCCACCCCCGCCCCATCAAACACTCCCAGGGCAGTGACAGCACAGGGTTAGATACAGAGTAAAGCTCCTACACAGCCGTTATAAGGTGCCTTAGAATAAAGATTTGCCAGAGACCCAGGTGAAAGTTTGCACTTTTTATTGGTATTTTTTGAAGACTTCATTCAAAGATTGAATCTTTTCTTTAAAAACGTTGCAGAGTAAATCTCAAGGCAGACGGATTTGTTCGTTATAGTTATGGAGCTGTCAAAAGTTTTAATAAAAAAAGGCGGGGAGAGCTGATGACAGTGTGGTTACACCGTCACAATGTGCATGGGTGTCCATACTACCCCCCAGCATTCCCAATCCACCAAGTTCGCCGATTGTGGGGAGAGTCTGTGCCCCTGGGAGGGTCTGCAACCTGCCTGAGACCCTTACCTCGGGGAGACTATGCTGCCGGGGTGGTGGGGGCGGTCTCTGCCCCCTGGGGTACCAGGCTGACAGTTCTGAAGTGTCTGGGACACCAGGTATAACAGGAGAGATGGGCAGCCCACCACTGACAGAAGAAGGGGTGATGGGGAAAACAGGCAGACTGGAAGGCATGTGTCAGAGTGTGTGTGTGTGAGAGAGAAACAGACCACAGGGACAGAGAGAGAGAGAGACTGCGTCTGTGGGTGTGTTAATGCATCTGTATCTGTGTGCGTGCATGTGTGAGAGAGAGAAAGAGACAGAGAGACCTCTTCCATTTGGTGTGCACGTATCTGTGGATATGAGGGTGGGTGTGTACATGTGAGAGAGAGAGAGAGACAGGCAGTGAGACGAAGAGAGAGAGAGAGGTCAGACAGATAGACAGAGAGAGAGAGAGAGAGAGAGACAGCGTGTGGGGACAGAGAGCAAGAGACAGACAGCGTGTGGGGACAGGGACAGAGACAGAGAGACAGACAGTGTGTGGGGACAGGGACAGAGACAGAGACAGACAGTGTGTGGGGACAGTGACAGAGAGACAGACAGACAGTGTGCGAGGACGGGCATACTGAAACCTGCCTGACACCAGAGTGAAAGCTCCTGGATGGTGCAGCCTCCCACCGTCTGAGACACACTTTACCCACTGTCCCCTCAATCTCTGGGAGCCTGCTCCTGGGGTGAGTCAGGACGAGGGGGCACTCGGAGGACAGAGGTGGGGGGTGACATCGGAGTCGAGTCTGAGGCCCTGAAGGGAGGAGGGTGGGGGGGTGGATCACAGTTCACGTCACAGGAAGTAGTCGGCCACGGGTTTTTTGGAGGGGATGCCCCGGGTTTCCTGCGGGGCTGCCTCGAAAATGATGAACTCCTTCTGCAGATGCTCGTCCAGTTCCAGAATAGCTGCCACGTTACCACACCTGGGGGGAGGGGTGGGGGGTGGGACACACACACAGCAGCGGTCAGCTTCGTAACCTCTGCCCCACCAACCCAGCGTCCCCTCCTCCCCTTCGCTTCCCCCAGTGACCATTCAGCCCATCTACTCACTACCCTCTGGTACCTCCGTCATCACCACCCAATCTTCGGTCTGTAGCGTGCACTGCTCCCCACCTCCACCACCCCAACGTATCAAGACGATTCACCCTCAGCCCTCCCTGAGAAAGCAGCACAGCATGGGAACAGGCCCTTCGGCCCGTCTAGACTGCGCTGACGCCTTTCTAAACTTAAAAACCTTTTGCCTCTGTGCTCCCTGTATCCTGCACCCATTCATACGTCTGGCAAGGCACCTCTTAAACATTACTACTGTACAGAAACTGTCCTCCAAGTGGCACCCCCAGGACCCAGGAGTGATCGAATATTCCCAATAATCAAAGGGTATGCATGACCACAGCAAACCCTGACCCCGCAAAGCTTCAAGACATTGATGTTCCTCCAAAAAATCTACGCCAAAAGCATCAACACACCTCTTCAAATCAATATAAGTTACAGCAACAGATTGCAGGGGCAGGGACGGTACACGGCACTGTTATACCTTATTTACAGAACTAATACTCAAACATCACAGTAGAATGCAGTATTTCCCAGTTGATAAAGTGCTGATTAAAACAAAGTTTGCTGTATCTGCCTCCACCACTTCTTCTGGCAGGTGCTAACCACCCTCTGTGGTTAAACTAAAAAAAGACTTACATTTCCTTATCCCTCTTTTACCTTAACCCTATATCCCCTAGACACTGGCATTTCTACCCTGGGGGGAAATGCTATCCATTCTATCCACTGCCTTGCGTAATTTTGTAAACTTTGCCCCTCATCCTTCGATGTTCGAGTGAAAACAAGCCAAGTGTGTCCAATCTCTCCTTGCGGCTAATACACCTCCAGGACCAGGCAACATCCTGGTAAACCGCTTCTGTGCCCTCTCCTCTGGTAGTGTGGTGACCAGAACTGTACACAACATTCCAAAATGTGACTTAAATAAAGTTCTATCCAGCTGCAACATGACTTGCTAATTTTTTATACTCTTGGGGTCAAAATTGTAGAATTCCCTCCCTAAAAGGACACTTTGCCAGTGACGCTCACATCCTACAAAAACAAATTCTAAAAAGTGCCCCAACCGACAAATGCGAGTACTCCATATACTTTCCCGACCACTTTATTCAATCGTGTTGCCACTTTCAGGAAACTGTGGACCTTTATGTCTAAATCCCTCTGTTTGATCTTCACCCTAAGGGTTGTGAATCTGTGGAATTCCCTGCCCAGTGAGGTTACCTCGTTGAGTGTTTAAGGCAAAGGTAGAGAAATTTTTTGAACAGTGAAGGAATTAAGGGTTAATGGCGAGTGGGCAGGCAGGTAAGTGGAGCTGAGTCCACGATAAGATCAGCCGGGGTCTGACTGAGTGGTGCAGCAGGCTCGAGAGGGGCCGAATGGCCTGCCCCCGTTTCTCATGTTGACGCCTCTTGCGTGTGAAGGCATTTGCCTGATGCCAGATTCCGGAAATTTGGGAAGGGACTCAGGAGCAGTATGCTCAGGACTGCTCCCGGTGCTGTGTGTGAGTGAGCGCGAGAGCAGGAGGACTGGTTACCGGAGAGCTGGCGTTGAAGGGAGGATCTCCAGTCTCTGAGGTACTGGGACCCGTACAAGGCGGGCAGGGGCGTCTGGGGAAACGGGACGCATAAAGTTGGGAACAGGAAGTTGAAAAGATCCCGGTGAGACCAGCAGACGGGGAGAATCAAAGCTGAGCATTGAGGGTTCTTTGAAAGTCAAACAACAGGCAGGGCACTCGATCTGAATCTACACAGCACTCACAACAGGGTTTAATGATCTAGGGGAGAGACAGAGGTGTACGGACTAAATGTCATTACTGAAACATGGCTGCACGGTGGCCAGGGCTGCGAAACGGAATATTCGAGGGTCTGCGACATTTAGGAAGGGCCAAGCCAGAAGGAAAAGGAGGTGGGGCGTGTGCTGAGGAGAAGC